TTATAGTGAGTGATGACATATTAAATAGTTATAAATACTAAGAGAGTAGATTTTAGACATTTCCATCACAAATATGTGAAAAGTATGTGAGGTAATATATATATGTTAATTAGCTTGAGTTAGCTATTCCATCATGTTTATATATTTCAAAACAATATTAAGTGCCACAAACATACAATTTTTGTCAATTAAAAACATTTTAAATGAAGTTTATTATGTCTATACATATTTATATATATTTATGTATACCCTTTCTGAGTACTTCAAGTTTTAAAATATTTGATAGTTATTTTATTTCTGTTCTTTTTAACTTGGTAATGATTTCACATTATTGAGATTCACATAATTTGTCGTGGAGGCTAATATTTTATTTTAATAAGAGAAAAGAGATAATTGGGACTGTAAATTTAAAAAGAGGAAGATTGAGTATAATAATCTTAAAAACAAGGTATTTTAAGCTTATTGGATTTAGATCTAGTGATGAGGGAATCTTTTCTCTTTCTTTTCTTAGTTCCCCAAGACAAAAATCATATTTCATAAATGTGTCATGATGACTACATCAAATTTTTTTTGGGGGGTACCAGGGATTGAACTCGTGTCCTTGCGCTTGCAAGGCAGGCCACCGAACCGCTGAGCTAAATCCCCAGCCCCTTACATCAAATATTTTTACAGGAACTTTTGAGATGGAACATGGACTTTGGAGTCAGACAAAACCTGGTCTCTCAAGTTCTTCATGGTGTGACCTTGAACAAGTTACTCAAGCAGTTTGGCCCCCAAATTTCCCATCCATAGAGTAAACATAATGCATATCACACCCATCATTACTGTATAGGATTCAAATGAGGAAACATAATAGCTTTGACACATAGGATCTCCTGGACAAGTGCCAGTTCGCAGCTTCTCTTAAATTGTTGGAGGCTGATGCTCTTAAATGCTCACAACCCAACACTGTTTTAAGTTGACAACATAAGTGTTTTGTTGTATTTATAATTTCAGTGGAGATATATTCAGGTGAGTGGGTGAGAACATTCCACTCTTGAGTGCAGGGCCTTGGGATAAGAAGATATGGAGGAGCCTCAAACTTTGGCCTTCCTCCTTGCAGAGAAACAAAACACTGTGACTCTAGGGTTCTTTCCTTCCCTCTCCATCTGAGGTCCCTCTTTCTCATAGAGGACCTTACCTTCTCCCAACATTCTGTGCCAGTGTGCCATCTCTAATTTACTATGTAAGTCAATTGTGCCACAGAGAAAGGACCATCCCTTGGTATGAGCCCTGCTACTGTTAACCCAGAACATCACTTTTTAAAGACTTTAAACCAGAAAATAAGTAATGACTGGTTTATATGTGCAAGTTTCCTGACACCTATGTTTGTTTAAAGACATCTCGGGCTGGGGATTTGGCTCAATGTTTCCACTGCCTGCCTAGGAAGCACAAGGACCTGAGTTCAATTCCCAGTACCAAAAAATAAATAAATAAGTAAAGACAACATCTTTATGTCTGTACTAACAACCTGCCGATGCGTGGCCTTTTCAGGACTAAGTACCATATTTTTACAGCAAGTTTTTTAGTATCAAGAAAAACAAGAACTCTTCCTCAGGCATTTGGCTGTTTCCTTTTGTAACCTTAGATACAATTTAAACCCTATTTTTTTAGGTAATCTTTGTTATATTAGATGGTTGGCTAAATGGAATCACACCCATTTGGACTATCTAATTAAACTGCTAACAAAAGAATTGCTAACATGTTTGCTCTAAGAATGATACAAAGTGGAAGCTATGCTGAATTGATAAAATATCTGATGGCCTCTGCATAAAAAGGGAAGGCCTGGAAGAATTTAACAGTGGTACCAGAAAAAGAAATATGTTTGTCCTTATCAAGAGAGAGTTGAAGATGACAGAATGTAGTACTGTGAATTGTAAGGCTGATCTGCATTTTCTAGATTTGGGTGGTGCGTGTGTGTGTGTGTGTGTGTGTGTGTGTGTGTGTGTGTGTGTGTGTGTGTGTGTGTGTGAGAGAGAGAGAGAATGTTACAATATGAAATTCTTAAAGGAAAATTCCATAAACTGTATGAATGCACACACATGCAGGCAGGCATACTTAAAAAATATTCTAGGAACTTGTCAAAAAGTGGTACAGTAAGATTTCTTAATCTAATAAAAGGAGCAGAAGTGGGAATATAGTTGTGATCTAAGATACAGTATAGATATTTTGTATTAACTAATGGGTTTTATTGCTAGAAATTATATTGTCAGGCTCCCCTAAAGCAGATTATAGTGTTAGTCATTCTCTGGCAAGAATAAAGCAAAACAAAACCCAAAGGAAAGAAGTTTGGGTTTAGTGGCTAAAGAAATGATGTTCTCCCAAATAAAGAAAATCAGCATGAACTGACTTCAGTTGCAGTGACAGTGTCCAATGAGACCCCTGTGTGGAACAACCCCTGTGGTTTTCTATTAGTTTCACTTTGCAATTATAACTTGTATAAGTCAATTTGAGAAAAAGAGAGAAAAAAAGAGAATTTTCCTCACTTTCTAAATCATGGCTCAGAAATGTGTTATAAAACACCAAGAACGGAAAAGCCATTACATAGAATATAAAGAAATACTTGAGTCTACAATATCATTGAACTCTTGGACTCAGTTTCAGCAGACATGCTCTGTATTCCCACAAGAGTCTGGAAAATTAACTCCTATTTTTTTCTGTCTGGAGTAGCAGTGAGTGTTATTATTTGCTCCGTGGCTCAATCCAGGTCAGACTGTTCTGCCGTAACACAGGTGGAAGTTGAGACAGGGAATCTGTTGAAAAGATTGCAGAGGGACTGCTTCCCTCTTCCCTGAAGCTGTTTTGGGTGGCAGCTTGATGGCAGTCAGCTGTGGCGGGGACAGAGGAAGCTCAGTAGTACCCTTTCACATGTGGTCAAGCATTTCATCAGCTGCAATCCTACAGCAGAAGTGCCTTTTATAATGGCTCATTCGGAACTGGTCTTATCCTCTAAGAAATGGAGACCACTGAATGCTGAGTACTCGTGAACTGTAACGTTGGTCAGCATTTTTTGAATTAGCCTTATTTATTACAATCTGCAGTTCTACAAGGAAAATTCCATAAACCTAGGGGAGGGGACTTGGATTTACAATATTCTAATTTGTTAAAACCTAGTTATAGGAAGATTTCTTAACCTATTAGAAGTAGCAGAAGGAGGGAAATAGTTATGATTTAAGATATAGAAAATGTTTGGTATTAACTAATGTATTTTATTGTCAACAACTACATTGTTAAAATGTAACAAGTAAATTTGCCAAGAGTACAATGTGTATCTATTTGTAAGTTATTGCACAGGGGATGCTATATTTTATACACTCTACCCATGGAATTCTTCTTCTGGTAAACAACTAGACATAAAATAGACTGGAACATCCATTTAAGTTAATGGCTATTTAAAATTACAGATAATGGTCCAAAATAAAATTTGAACTGATTTAATACATAATTCACCATGAGGGGGGAAAAAGATCTTTTTCCAGCTGAGGATAGATATAGTTTTTTTCTTTAGAGAATAACTTATTTTCCTTAATAAGTTTAGGACTTGCCTGAACTACAGCCAGCCTTAAAAGTCCTTTGTTCAGAAATGTCTAATGTTATGTTGACTAAGGAGCAACTTGGGGGTTGAAAAATCGATCAGCATTTCTGACTTTAGGCTGTTTTTAAAGTAAAGTGCTCAGAGTTCCAACTGAAATGCTGCAAATGCTCCAAGACACTGTGCCTGGAAATGAGATTCCTGAAGAGTAGAGTTTAGGGATGTTTAGGTGGAGCTTACAGAAATGAGCCTTCCAGTACATGCGAAGCAGTGTTTCTTGCACGTTTGGAATGGCTCTCAGATTTTTCTTGGACCTAACTATTGTATTTCATTTTGCTTTTTTCTGTAATTCTATTTGGTAAACTTAGCAGCTTAAATGTCCAAGGGCAAAATTCTCTCAAACTTTCTTTCATTACTCACCAGATCAAACATTAGCAGGCCCTAAGGGAGGGTCTCAGCACACGGCCAACACACACAGATCCCTTCTTATCATGGGGAACAGATGCTCCTCCACGGGTGCGTACGCAACTTTCTCAACAGAACATAGATCTCCAAGGTTAAACTAATATTTTTGGAGCAAAAATGAGAATTCTGAGAAAATTTTTATTGTGAATTGTATTTTCTCGAAATGAAACTTTAGGCCAGCTGTAAATCACCAGAAAATTCACAAAGCACTTCTATTTGTAACTGAAATTAAAGAATTTAGGGAAAAAATCAAAACCTCAGACTAAAACAGTGTAGGAAATTGTTGTATGTTGTCTTTTTAAAATGTTGTGGGAAACACTTTTTCCCTGGCTGAAGAGAAAAATAGATTTTCCTTTTTAAAGGCTATACTTTCAGGACAAACTTGAAAAGAATTAGGTTCAAAACATTATGAAAATGTTTGTTTTTAAGTAAGATAGTAATAATGCTTTTCAAATTTACATGTAATTGAATATCTGATTCTGCAGTTGAACAAGTACCACTAAAAAGCTGCTTCTCCTAGAATTCAAGGTAAAATTGTATTTCAGCTTCATTGCAGTTCATTTTCCTTAAGAATACCATATAAGAGCAAAAAGTAATGTATCTACCCTCCCTCCAGGCTTTTCTGGTAGCTTTTTGTCTGTGAAACTAAGAGGTGATTGCTGCTTTCATAAAGGGAAGGATATGGATGCACTTAAAAGAGAAAAAAATAGAAAAAACCCAGGGTGTGGATAGAGTGAAAGGATGTGGTTTTAAGGGTGTGGGGTGGGTGCATGGTTGCCTGAAAGGGGGAGGGGGCTGTGAGGATTCTGAAGTTGTGAAAACAGAGATCACAAAATTGAAGAGGTTACAATTTGAGGCAGGTGTAGGGTGGGGCTATGGGTGAGGCTTGTAGGCTCCACCCTTGGTGAAGATTATAAAAGCTTGTGGTTCCCACCCCATGAAGCTGCAAGAATACTGAGCCGTGCTGAGGACCTGAGGAAAACTTACTGCCTGCCTGAGAAGGACATTTCGAAGGTTTTGTTGACTGGAAGAGGTGGCTCTCAAACCCCACCTCTAGATCTTCCCAAGACTTGAATGAGGACCATGGGGGCATGCAAGGTGACACCGTCTCTGGTCTTTGCCATCACTATTGCTGCAATTGGCTCTTTCCAGTTTGGCTACAACACTGGAGTCATCAATGCTCCCGAGGTGATCATAAGAGACTTTCTCAACTACACTTTGTCAGAGAAGTTAGATGAGACTCCAAGTGAGGGGTTGCTTACAACCCTCTGGTCGTTGTCTGTGGCCATCTTCTCTGTGGGTGGAATGCTTGGCTCCTTTTCCATTGGACTCTTTGTCAACCACTTTGGCAGGCGCAATTCAATGCTTATGGTCAACCTCTTGGCCATCGCTGGTGGCTTCCTTATGGCTTTCTGCAAGAAGGCTGAGTCTGTGGAGATGCTGATCCTGGGCCGCTTGATCATTGGCATCTTTTGTGGACTCTGCACAGGTTTTGTGCCCATGTACATTGGAGATGTGTCTCCCACCACTCTGCGGGGTGCCTTTGGCACTCTCCACCAGTTGGCCATCGTTGTTGGGATTCTGGTGGCTCAAATCTTTGGCTTGAAATTCATCTTGGGGACTGAAAAGTACTGGCCTGTGCTATTGGGTTTTACCATCATTCCAGCCATCTTACAAAGTGTAGCCCTTCCATTTTGCCCTGAGAGTCCTAGATTCTTGCTCTTTAACAGGAAGGAAGAAGAGTATGCTACAGAGATCCTCCAGCGGCTGTGGGGCACCCTGGATGTGTCCCAGAACATCCAGGAGATGAAAGATGAGAGCGTTAGGATGAGCCAGGAAAAGAAAGTCACTGTGCTGGAGCTCTTTAGATCACAAGGATACCGAGAGCCCCTCATCATTTCCATCATGCTGCAGCTCTCCCAGCAGCTCTCTGGGATCAATGCCGTATTCTATTACTCAACAGGAATCTTCAAGGATGCAGGTGTCCAGGAGCCAATCTATGCCACCATTGGAGCAGGTGTGGTTAACACTATCTTCACTGTGGTTTCTGTGTTTCTGGTGGAGAGGGTGGGAAGGAGGAGTCTGCACATGATCGGCCTTGGAGGGATGGCTTTTTGTTCCATCTTCATGATGATCTCTCTGTTACTGAAGGACACATACAGTTTCATGAGCTACATCTGCATAGTGGCTATCTTGATCTACGTGGCCTTCTTTGAGATCGGACCTGGTCCCATCCCCTGGTTTATTGTGACTGAACTGTTCAGCCAGGGACCCCGCCCAGCTGCCATAGCTGTGGCTGGTTGTTCTAACTGGACCTCCAACTTTTTGGTTGCACTGCTGTTCCCCTTGGCTGCAGCCTCCTTAGGAGCCTATGTTTTTATTATCTTTGCTCTTTTCCTCATTATCTTCTTGCTGTTCACCTTCCTCAAAGTCCCTGAGACCAGAGGTAGGACTTTTGAGGACATCAGGCGGGCCTTCAAAGGGAGCACTCAGGAAGCCTCTGAATCTGGGAAGAGCCCCACCATGGAACTGAACAGCCTGCAGCCTGCAAAGGAGCCTGTCCCCAGCACCTAAACAGACCTCCTCCACTTCCCTCCTCCAGGACAGTGAACAGTGGACAGCCACCTCTCCCAGGGTTAGGCATGGCTGGGAGATTCCTCAGCAGGACAAACTGCTTCTGAGTGCTGCTACCCCATCCATCCCTGTCTTATCCCTCAGTGAGCCCAGCTGGGTCAGCCTGTGACCAGTGGCTTCTTGAGTGCTTCATTTCTTGGACCTGCTCTTCTGTTTAGGACAGACCAGGTGAACCTACCTTCATTCCAGGTTTCATTATAAAAATATCATTTTTAAAGTGTAATTTTACCAAATAGTGAAAATGTTGGGAAATGGAGGGGATAGGGTGTTGTTTAATAAAGGTTATAGGTCAAGAAGGTTCAATACCAGAGAGGTCAAGGGATGAGAAGGGAAGACTCATGGAAAAATGTCATTTGTCATTAGAGGAGATGTGATGTGTTTCCTGAGGTGGGCGCATGGCCTCTCAGCAATTTCTGTGTCTCACATGCAGACTCTTAAGTTTCATTTCAGGAAAGTCATGTGTCTGTATAGGAGAAGCTACTACTAGTTTCCTTTGGAAGTTTTCTTTAAAATCATAGTTTACATATAGTATTACTTGAAATCTGGGATTGTATCTAAGATGGGCATTGTAATAAAAGGTGGTTAATGGGCTTTGATTTTGGACGTAGTCCAGAAAATGGAAGGTTATTTGTAAACAGCCCTCCCCATCCCCACACTCCCTGGACCAAACAACCCCTTCCCTTGTAGTAGACTCACATGTGAAGTAGTCCGCCACGCTCACACCCCTGGGGGCGGCCCTACAGTGAGAACCCAGCTGGTTCTCAGTAGAAGTTTGGCACTTCTCTGCTTTGTTAAGATATTTTACGTGTTGATTTTTATTTTGACTTGTAGTTTTAAAGGAATTCAGAGGAGAATCCTCCTGAGTGATTTGGAATCTGTAACCTCAGTTCTGGGAGAGAATCTTTCCTGAACCATCACTATGTGCTTTCAGTGTTTTGTCAGTGTAGACTCACGGCATGCTGGTCCATGCCTGTTACCATGTCAAGTTATTCTTGTACCATGTTCTGTGACACCTGTCAGGCACCCACCTGAGCCCTCGCGATAGACACGTGTGAGCCAGTCTGAGTAAAGGTGAAGTGTCGCTCACACATGAGAGAATAGGAATGTTTGTGCACTGTCACTTTGTTCAGGTGGAAGTGGTTTATTGGCCACTTGCTTCCTTTGCTCCTATAGCCTCCTTCTGGGGAGAATGTATTAAAAATCATCCCTGTGAGGCAAAACTGCCTCTGCTGGGTGACATATGCACCCAGAATTCTCTGTTCAGACTCATCCACTGTCCTTCCCCGCCAGAGAACAGGAGAAACACCTCCCTCCATCCTGTTGTTGAGGGTGGAGGGCTAAGCCTCACTCAGGAGGACTGGGGTGTGTGAGGTCGGCCATGTGGCTCTGGGGGACACTGGTTGTAGGAAGAGGAGGTGTTGAACTTTTAGGGGAATAAGAAGCAAATGAAGACTTCCTTCTAATTGGAGGGGCTCAGATAGTCCAGGTGACAGCAAGATGACTCCCACCATAGGCCATGACATCTCCACAGTCACCTCCTCATCCCCCAGTGCTCTTCTTCCTCCTCGCTTCCTTCTCATAGTTTACTTGATGTCCTTTTCCCTCCTTCGTGCTTGCACATTTCAGACCCTTTGGCCAAACTCTTGCAGATAATAATAGTATGCCAGTCTCTGGTTTTCACCTTTCCCGCTGATCACTAAGCCTTTGGATAACCATAGTATTCTGTATATACTGTTTAAAGTATTTTCATCTGATTTATTTAGTCCTTTTCCAATGCTCCCAGAACATTAATACAGTAAATCTAGGTAAAAAAGGAAAATCTCAATAATGAAAGATTTATTTTTCATGATTTTTGTATTTTTTTATAGTAGTAGGTTTCCTTTTCTTCAGAGCTCTAGGCTCTTGGGGGAAAAAGGAAAGATTTCTATAATTTTATTGTTAGGCTTTGTTAACATAGTATATTATCATAGCTACTTTCAGTACTTATGTGCTGTTTCTATGCAGCACTAAAATTTATTGACAAGTGCTAATCTACCATACTCAAAAGTGTTCACTTTTTAGCCAATGTTCTGGCATTGTATAGTTAAAGCTCTAGAAACCCCAGGCATCCACCTACCATGCCTTTGAAGAAGGTTATCACACCATGGGTGTGGATCATATCTCTGCTTGCCTTGCCTTTGTTTTTCATTTATGTGCCATCATGCTGTGGAAGGGATATAAGGGTGCTCATAAGGAGGTGTGTGTGTGTGTGTGTACACATAAGGAAAAGCACATATATGTCAATATACAGATATATATCAATGAGCATGCAGTAAAAAGCAATGAAAAGATAGGTGGAAGAATAAAGTAAGAATAATTACCATAAGGTAGAGTCAGGAATGCAGTTAATGGTATACAGGTCCTGCACACTCTTGCAGAGTATGACACTGTCACAGATTCTGCTGTAAGCTTTCTCACTGCCAAAATAGATGTAAACCTGACAGATGGTTTAGTCTATGAGAACTAAAAAAGGCAGGCTAATCAGTTAACCAAGGAGAAGGGGCGATGTGTTTACTATAGGCTCAGTGAAGCGTTTTCTCTTAGGAACCCCATGTGGGCAGTGTGTGGTGAGGTAAACAGCATCATTTACCACATTTTTGCAGTTGCTGCAGTTCACTAAATTCAGTATTACACCAGCTGAACTCTCTTCATCCAGGCATGTGCATTAGCATCTTTGAGAGGACAGTAGACTGTGTTCTTCAGATGATCCACCCTGGGTGTTTTTGATAGTGTCGTTGATTTTATTACTCGAGATTTTATTATTGATCAAGTGGCTAAGACACAGCAAAACAAGGTCATGATTCTCCAAAGGAAAAATAAACAAACAAATAACAACAACAAAACACAGACACATACAACTAACAACCTTAGTGTCTACTTGGATGCAAAGGCCAAAAAGAAATCTTTTGTTTAACAGTGCTGACATAGAGACAATCTGAAAAAAGGGATTAGTATCAGTAAAATAACCATTGAACTTGGGAAATGTGAGCTTGTGTTGTCTTCAAGGTGAACTACCTGAGAACTATTAACACAGGCAACCAGACTGATTTAATTACCCCCAAATTGTTACTTGTATGACCAACAAAAAATAAAATAGCTTTGATTTTTAGGATATTTGAATTGCAGCTCCCCATTTTGGGTCATTATCAGCTAGTAAATTTGTCTTCTCAGTTCATTCCTACTTAGAGATTCTGGGAAAACACTCCCACTGAATACTTCTACTATCAGATGGTTGGGATTTTTCTCACAATGGCCAGTTTTCCAACATCATGTGCATCCTGCAATTTAGTTCAATCTTGACGTGATCTACCTGGAATTAGCATCAGATCCTGTAAGTTAAGGGCTCAGTCCCACAAGATTTCCCCCAGTGCCTAAGTCTGGGATTTTTGAATTGCTGAACGGTCAGCTGTAAATTGGAAGTTTTCTACAATGTATTTAGTAATTTACTAGAATAGCTTACAGATCCCAGAAAAACTTTTTTTTTTACATTTATCAGTTTAATATAAAGGACAGGACTTAGGAAGAGTTGAACGGAAGAGATTCATAGGACAAGGTACGAGGGTGGTCATCAAAGTTCCATGCCCTCTCTAGGAGTACCATTCTCACAGCACCAACCCTGAAGCTCATCTAACCTTGTTTCTCAAGATTTTTTGTGCAGTTTAATCTCTGTTCTCCCCAAGTTCCTGGAGGTTGAGGCTGAAAGTTCCAACCCTACAATCTCTTGGTCTTCCTGGTGACTGAACCCATCATAAGGCTATCTAGGGACCCCACCCTGCCACCCACAGGTGCAGTGGAAAGGAGCTTGTTATGAAACAAAAGACACTCTTAACACTACAGAAATTCCAAGGGTTTTAGGAACTCTGTGCCAGAAACTACAGGCAAAGACCAAATCTATTTCTTCTTATACCACAGAGATAAAAGAAATCAATATATAAAGAATGTTTGGCTTTTGCTGTCTATAGCAGAACAAGTGTCTGTTTCATCCAAAAGCAGTATAGTATCAATAAGAAACAAGTTGAAAAGAAGAGGAGCCAGAATATGCTCACAATCTTTTATTGATTTTGCATCTTCCCTTCTCTCCTGAAGAAAAATTGCTCCTGGAACTGCACGGGGACCCTTTATCTCTATTCTTTATATTTCCTTAGAGAAGGAGACCATGGCAGTGAGTCATTCTGGTCCTTTTATCCTCAGGAAATGGCTACTGTTGCTGGTCATCATACTTTAGAATGAATTAGCAGGTAGCTTCACATCAGAAAGCAGATTCTAGCATTTTCTCTTTGTTCAGCAGAGTAGCCGTTTCTCTGTTCTCTGGTGTCTTGTGGAACATCTGGCACAGGTGGATAAAGGAGATGATAGTGAAATCAGGTTTTTAAATCAGATTCTCCCTTCAATGTTGATCAGGCTGTGTTACATTCTAAACTGGGAGGTAGGGAACCTTGTCAGTTCTCCACTCAGACCATTACCAGGGACCTCTGGATACAACTAACATCTGACCACCATCTGTCAGTGTCTCTTTCTAATTAGGCATATGGAAGTGTAGAGCAGGGGGAGTCATGAGAGACATCGCCAACCACCAGCAAATAGAGCAAATGGAGCAGGACTGAGCTTTACCTAGCACAGAAGAATTTCTGATAGCATGTTCCTTTCCTTCCTTTGACTTCAAATATAAATCTGAGATGTTCTCTTTCTGTGATAAAGAATAAAGATGCTTCTTTTTTGTTAGATGTTTTCTAGGGATGTCAAGCTTGATTATGCATTCTTTTGACATTATTACTGAATTATGTTAGTATAATTGTAACGGAAATGTTTGGTATTTTATTAATTGTGATTCCAGGGGGCTGGGAATTTAGCTCAGTGGTTCCACCACCTGCCTCGCAAGCTCAAGGATCCAAGTTCGATCCCCAGCACCAAAAAAGAAAAAAACCAAACTTGTGATTCCACTGCCTGAAATTCTCACTCTATCTCTCCCTACTTCCATCCCCTTTTGGAAGATGTATTCCAAGTTCAGCTAGAGCATGAGTTCCCTGAGGTTGTGGACTTCATCTTAATCATCCACATGTTGTATCGTTCATTCTTCGTGACCCATTTATTTGTTCCATAAAATCTTGCTAGCATCTCCTACC